TTTATTTAAAATATTTAAATAATATAAAAATATTTATTTTTCTTAAATAAAATACATATAAGAATAAAACTATTCTATATTTTCATATTTTTCTTTATAATTAATAAATTTAGTATTTAATTCTATATATTTTTTGTTTGTTTCATTAACTTCTTTTTGAAGTTTTTCAATATTTTTTACTAGAGATAATCTTTTATTATATTTTCTAAAAGCTCTTTGACAATTTTCTTTTAAAGTTTCACATTCTTCACAGGATTTTTTGTTTATTAAATCTTGACATAATGTAAATAATGATGCTATAATGTTATCAATTTTTGTTACATTATTAATTTCATTTATTTCAGACATCTAAAAAAAAATGAAATAGTTATAACTAATTGTTTATGTAAACATATATATAAAGAAAAATAAAAAACTTTATTATTGAATAAGAACAAAAGGTCACAGTGTACATGTAAAGGCAGATAGTAAAAAGCCAGCTGCTTACAACTTTACTATCTGTACTTCCAATATATTGAACTCCAGTTATTCAAAAGAGAGCAAGTAAAAGTTCTTATATCTTAACTAGTATATAAATCATTTAATTTTTTTTTTAAAAAAAATAAAAAAGATACTAACTTTTTTTTTAAAAAATGTTTATAATAGAATAAAGTACATGATATTTTTTTTGTAACCAAGAAATGATCAACATTTAAAAAATAAATAAAAAATCATATGATATAAATTATATAATTTAATCTTATTTAAAATTATGTAATTTAGAATGTTCTAAAATGCCAAGAATTTTATCAAGTAAAAAAATCATATGATTAAACCTTATTAGAAATTATGTAATTTAGAATATTCTAAAATATTAAGAATTTTATCAAGTAAAAAATCATATGATTAAACCTTATCAGAAATTATATAATTTAAAATATTCTAATTTGCCAAGAATTTTAAAATAAATTTTATTAAAATAAATGATTATATAATTTTATTTTATCGATGTATTACATAATTTCAAAATATTTTGATATTTTAATAAATAATTTAATTGGTTATTATTATATAATATTTATTTATTATATAATTAATTTAAAAATTGTTTTCCAACTTTATGGTCTAGTTCATATCTTGGTCTAAAATGTTTTCTATATAAACATTGTATATAAATTTTATATTTAAATAGTTTTGTAATTTTACCATTTTTATTTAAGATTGGTACATATTTTTTTTTCTTTGAATTCCAAGTAACAAGCGTATCTAAAATCATTTCTGGTGGTATATATAGTTCCGGATCTTCATTTTCAGATGTTCTTGATCTTTGTTTAGATTTTCCTGTTCTTTGTTTATTTTTTGTACTTTTTTTAGTAGTTGGATTTTTATGGTGAATAGATTGTTTTGTATGTGCAGAATCAGATAATGAAAAAAATACTGCAAATAAAAAAAAAAAACAAAGAAAATAGTATCTTGCATATTTATTGATTAAACTTAAATATATTTTATTTATATTTATAAAAAATAAAATTCGTTACAAACTTTATTTATAGTTTTACAAAAATTTAAAAACAATTGAAAAGATAAGAGATAAAA